ATAATAATAATAATAATAATAATAATTATTATTATTATTATTATTATTATTATTATTATTATTATCAAATAAAATCAATTAAACTATTTTTTTGTTAAAACAAGAAATAAAGACTATCACCTAAGATTAAGGAAATGCCACATTTAACTAATCTTGTTTTGTTTTTTTTTTTAATTTTTAAAAAAGATAAATATTATTAATATTGATATAATAATAGTAATAATAACTACTATTATCAATACCTTAATTGATTAAAGTAACGTGAGAACCTAATATATGTATGTAAATAAATTACTTAATTGATTATCTAATCCTTTGTTGTAAAATAAAAACAAATAAAATAAAATTTGCTAGTCATGTCCGTTATAAAATATCTTGGCAAAAAGGAAAATAAAAAATTTGATTAAACAGTTTTAGGGGATATTTGCTTCTTAATGGGCTTAGCCCGCGTAGCTCCCAGGAAGAAAGAAAACGGTGGTATTAAACTACGTTGAGCCCAAAACAAAAAAAAAAGGAAAAAATAAAAATAAAAATAAAAAAGGAAAGGAAGAAGGAAAAGGGTGGCATTAAGCCACGTTTCATGTAACAGAAAAGTAAGAAAAAGAGAGAAAAACGCGAGTGAGGCTAAAACCTCGCATTAAGGTTACGCAAGCCACATGCGGCTTCCTTAGACTAACCTAGACAACATGGGATCAACTCGGTACAAAGACACTGTAATGGTATCTGTAACACCTAATTTTCATAAATTATATTAATGATATTTTAGAAAATTATTTCAATATTTTAATATATTTATTAAGGGATTTTTTGTATCATTTAATTATTGATATGAATACTATTTTATTATAAAGCATGAGTTGTAATTTATTATTTTCAATAGTGATATAAAATGTATTTTTATGAAAGGTATTTATGAAGGATTATGCTCATGTTATTTATTAAAAAAGAGGAAAGTTACCGGAGTCATTCCACGCATTCACTCCTCTGACTCATTTTCTTTCTTTCTTATGCCTTCTAAAGAGCAAGGAGAACCCAGAGAAGAGAAACAACTGGATTCCGCTCATGCCTTATCTTTTGATCATCAAGGTAAAGGGGAGTGAGAAACCTCGCTCAAGGGTGTGAGAATAATTGTTGGGTAGCAGGATTGGCCTCCAATCCCTTGCCTAATGCATGCTCCAGGAACAGGTAGATTATGAAAGTTTTTTGTTTTAATATTTAAGTTTTCTGTTGGGTCTCTAGTTGGATGTGATGCGTAAATATGTGTTT